GGAAAAGGTAAAGCTATGAATACAGTAAAAATATCAGTGGGTCAGGGGTTGAGAGTAGGAAGTGTCAAATGGGAATACAGAATTTTTAGGGCAGTGAAACTATTTCATATGACTCTATAAGGTGGGTGCATCTCATACATTTGGTCAACACCCATAGAATGTAAAACACAGAGTGAACCCTAATGTCAACGATGGGCTTTCAGCGATAATGATGGGTCAATGTAAATTCAACAAATTTAACATTCTGGTGCAGGGTGTGGATTGTAGGGGAAATAGAGGTGGAGGGGGGAGACTTTTGGAACTCTTAATTTCTGCTTAATTTTTCTGAAAGTCTCAAATTGTTTTTTAAAAAAATCTATTTTACATTCCCATCAGCAATGTACAGGATTCCAATTTCTCCACATCCTGGATAACAACAGGTATTTTTTTTTTTTTTTTTTAATAATAGCCACCTAAATGGTGTGAATTAGTATTTCACTGTGATTTTTACCTGTATTTCCCGAATGATTAGTGATGTTGAGCATCTTCTCAAGCACTTACTGGCCATTTGTAAATCTTTGGAGAAATATCACTCAAATCAGTTTCCCATTTTTTTAATTGGGTTTTTGTTTGCCTATAAAGAATGAATGCTAACAGACAGAGCAGGGACTTTTGGTCAGGCCCTTGGATTGGTTTTTAAATGGGGGCAGGGGGAGGAGGAAGGTTATTATTCGGTATTATCAAAACTGTTGAAGTCCCAGGCATTATTCAGATATAATTAAAAAGTATGTTACAGCCAAAACCGGTTTGGCTCAGTGGATAGAGCTTCAGCCTGCAGACTGAAAGGTCCCGGGTTCAATTCCGGTCAAGAGCAGTACATTGGTTGTGGGCACATACCCAGTAGGGGTTGTGCAAGAGGCAGCTGATCAATGTTTCTCTCTCATCGACATTTCTAGCTCTCTGTCCCTCTCCTTTCCTCTCTGTAAAAAATCAATAAAATATATATTTTTCGAAAGTATGTTACACTCTTATCTCAACAAAATCTATCTTTGCAAATTCTCTCCATCCTCTAATACTCCTGTCCTAGCTGGTAGACAAAGTTCGTTAGCTGTTGTTTTTCCAAGCCTCCTGGGACACTGTTTCCTGCAAGCAAACTGCTAATTCATTGTGGGGAAAATCCATTTCTATAAGCTCGTTATCTATTCCCAGTGCTATCTCTGCTTGTCACCTGAGTATCAGAAGAACCTTTAACCATCATTGACTGGGACTTTTACCCGAGCGGCTGATGGGAGTGGTGGCTCAAAGAGACATCAAACCTGCGTTGGAGAGCAACTGCCCTCGTGACTCCATCTGGGGCAGAGTCTCCTTCCACGAAGGCATCTGAAGGAGGTTCAAAAGAAAACGGTCACATTAGAATTGTAATTGCTCATTATGGGGAAAACGGGTCTGCACAGGAGAATTCTGGCTTCCTCCTTACCAGTTTCTTAAGCTGCGTTAAATATAATATCTTTGACATTCACTATGTCAAAAAACATGGCACTAAAGCTATTGTCTTCAAAGAAATGCATTTAAAATGGTGCGGCCATTTTGCAAAACAGTATGGCAGTTACTATGCAGATTAAACATAGAGTTATCATGTGCCCAGCCATCCCACCCCCAGGAATATCCTGAAGACAACCGAAAACCTATGTTGAGGCTAAACTTGTACACAAATGTTCATGGCATCATTATTCATGATAGCCCCAAAGTAGAAAATCTAAATGGCCATCAATTGAGAATGAATAAATCAAATGTGGCATGTCTATACAGTGGGAAATTATTCAGTTAAAGGGAATGAAGAACTGATACATGCTACAACATGAATAAACCTTGAAAGCATGCTTAGTGTTTTTTTTTTAAAGCAGACATAAAAGGTTACATATTGTATGATTCCATTTATTTCCATTTATAGGAAAAGTCCAGGTTATGCAAATCCAGAGCAACAGGAAGAAGATTAGCGGTTGTCAGGGGATGGTATGGAGGAGAATGGGAGTGACTGTTAACAAGTGTGTGGTTTCTTCTTTGGTGAGAAACATGTTCTGGAATTAAGTTATGGTGATATGTGAATTGTGGTTGTGGTACAACCATGAGAATATAATAAAACCACTAAACTGTACACTTTAAATGGGTGAATTTTATGGGTATGTGAATGATACCTCAATAAAGCTGCTATAAAAAAAAGAAATGCGCCGAAGCCGGTTTGGCTCAGTGGTAGAGCGTCGGTCTGCGGACTGAAAGGTCCCAGGTTCGATTCTGGTCAAGGGCATGTACATTGGTTGCGGGCACATCCCCGATAGGGGGTGTGCAAGAGGCAGCTAGCCAATGTTTCTCTCTCATCGACGTTTGTAGCTTTCTATCTCTCTCCCTTCCTCTCTGTTAAAAATCAATAAAATATATTTAAAAAAAAGGAAAAAAAAGAAAAAAGAAATGTCCACTAAATGGACCCTCACAACTACCTCATGAGGAGATATTATCCCCCCAATTTTTCATGAAGAAACTGAAGTGTAAAGATAATTGATGTGTCCAATATTATTCAGTTCAACCAGAAGGAGCTTTGGCTATGAATCCAGCACAGTCCAACTGATTCCAGAGCTTCAGCGGACTATTCGAGGGGGGACAAACACAAAAAAATACAAACACAAAAAAAGTAGAAATAAAACTTGGCACCTGGCCATACTTTCCCAAAACTGTTGCATTAACAAGGCAGTAATAAGAATACAAGGCAGCCAAAGTACCACCACTAATTATTCTCTGTAGGCCTTATGTAGCACTTCCGTAGGTGCTTTCCATTTAGTCCTCATAGCTACCTAACGAGGTGGGCCTCTTACTGGTATGCCTGTTTTACTGATGAACATGTACATGTATGGCAGAGTGGATGAACACTTACTCGCCAGTGGCATGCAGCCTGCACCTTTGGCAGGAATTTAGGAGAGGAAAGGAACAGAGAGCTGAGGCAGCCAGGGGGAACTTCATGAAGGAAGGATCCCCGAAGGAAGGGAAGGTGAGCCCTGGATAGTCACGTTTGAGGAGGGAAGCATGGGGAGGGCCTCGAAGGTGGAATGGAAGTCGCTGAACAAAGAGGTGGAAAATACTAACATTGTTCAGTGTGGGGATGAGTGCAGATTATGTTGTTACATTATTCTCTGTACATTTCTTCACCTTAGAAATAATTAGCAGCCGAAGCCGGTTTGGCTCAGCGGTAGAGCATTGGTCTGCGGACTGAAAGGTCCCAGGTTCGATTCCGGTCAAGGGCATGTGCCTTGGTTGCGGGCACATCCCCAGTAGGGGGTGTGCAAGAGGCAGCTGGTCGATGACTCTCTCTCATTGATGTTTCTAACTCTCATTGATGTTTCTAACTCTCTATCTCTCTCCCTTCCTCTCTGTACAAAATCAATAAAATATATTTTTTTAAAAAAGAAATGATTAGCAAACATTTTTAATATTTAATCACTGTGTTTTTGGGGAATAAAACATTTTCTTTTGTGTGAGTGGAGGGGGCAAAAATAGGTTTGTGGATGTTGGTATAGAAAAATGATGTAATGCTTAATGAATAATAATATAAGAATAAACTTTTGCCCCACCCTGTATATACATACCCATATACATAAAAACATTTGCTGATTAGAATGAGATGTCTTTATTCTTTCTAAAATAAGTCTTAGTGTTTCAATTGTATTTGCTGCTTTAGTTAGTAAGTTTTGGTGATTTTTTTTCCCCTCACACAGATCTACCTCATCCTTGTCATAATTGCATAATATTCACAATAGGAATGTGTCATGATTTAATTCTCCATTCCCCTATTGATGCCAATTTCCCACTGTTACAAGCATTGTTTGTAAACACTGTACTGCTGTTTGTGGTCCTGCATTTCCTTTTAGGAGCCTATTCTTTCTCTTTTCTTTCTTTCTTTTTTTTTTTTTAAATATGTTTTATTGGTTTTTTACAGAGAGGAAGGGAGAGGGATAGAGAGTTAGAAACATCGATGAGAGAGAACATCGATCAGCTAGCTGCCTCCTGCACACCTCCTACTGGGGATGTGCTGCAACCAAGGTATAATACATGCCCTTGACCTCAATCAAACCTGGGGCCTTGCATGCATTTTTTATGATAACATTTGAGGTAGATACTAAGAGGCAGAAATGGGGTCATAAATTCACTTTTTAAGTGACACAGAGTCAATAGGAAATCTCAAAAAAAAATTTAAATTTATCTTAATTGTTCAAAATATTGCAGATGTCGCCTCTCCCCTCACCCCCCCAATTAACCCCCTCCACCCTTTACCCGCCCCTTCTATGTCCATGAGTTATGCATATAGGCATATAAATTCCCCGGTTAACCTTTTCTCACCCACGCTTTTCCTCATTTTGTTGTAAACCTAAAACTGCTCTTTCACCCCCTGACTCTGCCGGGGTACCAGGAACACCGGCAGTTTCTCCCTAAGTCCAGGCGGGAGCGTGGCCCGGGGAGACTTATGCGCCCACCCACGCGGCGCTGGATGCAGCCCTCCCCGCCCGCCCGCCCGCGGGTTAGGTGCGAGGGCACCGTGACCTACTACCCTCCCGCCCGCGCTCTGGCCCCGCCTACCCGTCCCTTTCATTGAGAAACCCCTTCGCGATCACGTGAAACGGGCGTGCTGGGCTCGTGACGTCAGCCAGCGCGGACCAATGGGAGCTCCTGTTTATGTGGAGGGGCGGGGCCGCGGAAGGTTCTCTCCCCCGCAGCCGCCGGCCGGCCCCGCCCCGCCCCGCCCCGCCCGCCGCCCCGCCCCCTCGCTCTCGCGCTCGGGACCGGAGCGCCGGGCTGAGCGGGAGGCGGCGCCGCTCCGCGCTGCTGGGAGGGCCGCGCCGGCCGCTGTCTGCAGACCCGCCTCCGCCAGCGTCTCGTCGCCACCTCGGTCCCCGTGCCGGGCCGAAGCCGCGGGCCGTCGCGGGCGGCCGGGTCCGCGTCCTGCCGCAGCGCCCGGAGGACATGCGGGAGAGAGAATGAGCCAGAGGGACACGCTGGTGCATCTGTTTGCCGGGGGGTACGGCCCGGGCCGGGGCTGGGGGAGGCCGAGGGCTGCGGCCTGGGGCGCGGGCGAGGGGGTCGGGAGAGGGGGGATCGGTCCGCAGAATGACGGGGTGCGGCCGCCATCGGGGAGGGGTTGGGGGGGGGGTGAAGCCGAGGACGGACGTGAGGCCGGGGCCTGCGGGGCGGCGCGGGGCCGGGGCCTGAGGGCGGGCGGAGTTGGGCCCCGCGCCGAGGCCTAGCGGGCGTGTGCGGTGCGGGCCGCGGCCGGGGTGCAGCTCGCTGCGGGCCTCGCGTAGGCTGCTTGGCCGGGAAGGGACCGGGAAGGGGCCGGGAAGGGGGGATGAAGGACGGGGCGGGACGTGCGGAGGCCGAAGACGACAAAATGGGCGCCGGGCCTGGGCCGCCGCCTTCCCTTCTGCCGCGCGGGCCCGGGGCCTCCTCCCGCCGCTCGCGCCGCGCCGCGCACTCGCGCCTCGGATTTCCGGGGCGGCCCGGGGGGTTCCCGGCACCGACAGGCTTCGGTTCTCCCTCCCGCAGCCGCTGTGGGCCTCTGGCTCCGGGAGATGCGCCTCCGCGAGCTGCTCCAAGGTTACGTACGAGATGCGGTGCAGAAAGCGGCCATGCCTCCGAGGTCGCCTTCTTTGGAAAGCCAGCCAGTCCTCCGCTGCACCCGCCGCCGCTTGGCCTGTTTTCCTTCTTTCTTTCTTTTTTAAGAGAAGGGGGGGAGGTTTTGGGGGATGAGATAGGGCCAGGTCAGAAGCTCCGGCGGTAGCTGGAGTCTTTCTTGCAGGGTTAGGACGGAGCCTGAAGGTTCAGGTTGTCAGCGGATCGTTCTCTGAGCCAGTGTAGGTTCCCTTTCGGGTTTGTCCCTTCTTCCAAATGATTTGAAGAATCGTTCACAGTTTTAAGTTTAGGATCCTAAAGATTTCTATCAGAAATGGCTACGGTGAGTGATGTGGAGGCACAGGTTTTTTTTTCCTGCCAGTAAAGTCACATCATCCCCTTAGAGGCCGTGGTTTGTTCCTTAATCAGCTTTGTTAAGAATGTGAAATGGACGTGTTCGCAGCTCTGCTCACCACGTCTGCATTTGAGTTGGACGTGTGAGCTCTGTTGCCAGTTGATGCCATTCCTCGCCAGGTGGCACGTCCATGGAACGCCTTACTGCACGCCAATTGTGGCCCAACCACTGCTCTCACATTTAAAATGTTTCTTTTCACCCGTGAGACCCAATTTAGGCTAAGTTTGCTTTTCATTTGGTAATCTTGGCAAATTCACTCAATTTTTAAAAACTCATGGATCGCCCTAACCGGTTTGGCTCAGTGGGTAGAGCGTCGTCGGCCTGTGGACTCAAGGGTCTCAGGTTCGATTCCGGTCAAGGGCATGTACCTTGGTTGTAGGCACATCCCCAGTGGGGGGTGTGCAGGAGGTAGCTGTTTGATGTTTCTCTCTCATCGACGTTTCTACCTCTCTCTCCTCCCTTCCTCTCCGTAAAAAATCAATGAAATATATTTTTAAAAAATAAAAATAACTCATTGACCATGTAGATGCAAAGATGCCTTGTTATGCAAATGATTGGATTCCCTGTGGTAATTAGATCGCTAGCAAATGCCTAAAATTTAGGAGGCTGCACTACTTCTGGCCACTATTTTGAGTGAAAAAAAAATGGACAAGACCTTTGATTTTAATTGCTTCATCTATAAAATGTGGAAGACATGTGATCTCTAAGGCCCTTCTCTATATGTCCTAACATTTCTATTACTCTGCATTTGAGATTCATATATCAAGTTTTCTTAAAAGTAGGGCATATTTATTTGAAATATTACTTTGATTGCACTAACTTCCCAGTTTGGTTTAGGATCAACTTTGTTATTATCAGTCACTTTGCTATTAATATATATAAAGGCCTTTCTGGTTAGTTTTTTCTTTAAAAACAGGAATGGAGAGGTTGTTTTTTAAATATATATATATTTTTATTGGTTTCAGAGTGGAAGGCAGAGGGAGAGAGAGAAATAGAAACATCAGTGATGAGAGAGAATCCTTGATCGGCTGCTTCTGTACTCCCCCTATTGGGATGGAGCCTGCAACCCAGGTATGTGCCCTTGGCCGGAATCGAACCTGGGACCCTTCAGTCTGCAGGTCGATGCTCCATCCACTGATTCAAACCACTGGGCAGGGCAGGAATGGAGAGTTTTTGCAGCTTCTAAACATAAATAGATATAGGAGCCCTCCCTGAAAGAACCTAGTCTGTATAGGTCATTTACAGTATTAAACAAGATACTGGCATGTAGGGTCTGACATAATATAGGTACTCAGCCTTGTATATTCCCTTCCTTTGCATGTTGTCTTGATTTTACTTTTAAATGCAGTTGCATAAGTCACTATAAAACCTGGCTTTTAGATATGAGAGAAACATAAGAACTAGGGAGGATGGTAAAGATCATCTGTTTTATCCCTTCAAAATACAGGAAAAAAATACTGAAGTATGAAAAATTGACTTACCAAGGTCAATTTTCCATACATATAAACTGAGATGTAAAGAATCTCTAAAGATTCTTCCAGCTCTTTATTATATAAAGTCAATTCTGTAGAATATTCTGGAAGTCTGTGTGCTAAGCATTGTGGAAATGCAAATCAGGCTGCTTCCGTGACATAGTTCTTAATTGAAGATGTCTAATTCTCTTAGACCTCACAATGGTTACTTAGGCAAGCAGTTTTAGATGGTCTTCCTAGAAAACTAGATTTCATTTTTTAAAAATCCTGATAGAATCAAGAATCAAGTAAATTGGGAGTTAGAAAATTTAGTTTTGCTTTAATAACTAGGTAGTTAAAAGAAAAGATTTTTTTTTTTTTTTTAAGCTGTTTGCCTGGGCAAACACAAGTATCATTTGGGTTAAATTATAAAAACACAATATATTTTTAAAAAATTAAGTAATTTTTCACAGTGACATTTAATTGAATGAATGTGGAGCTTTTGGGTCATTTTCCTGATGACTATAATAGTGTTTATCAGGATCTCAGAGAGATTTCTAATAGCCAAGTGGCTGTATTATTCAATCAGGAACATTTGAAACACAGGCAGCACTGGACCTTGTGTCTGGGCGACATACTCACATGCAGAACTCGTGCTTTCTTTAAGACACCCTTTGGTCCCATTATGTTTTGCCAGAGTTAACATTCAGAGTTTGCAAGGTCATTGGTTATGTTAATTGAATTTTGGAGGCAACTCATAGCATCCTGCAAAAGGATGTGTCAGTAAAGTTTAATTTCACATTTAATAACACTGTATGTCTATATCTATTTATAAATATGAAATATACTTTTAATTCTTTAATAGAACTACACAATGTCTAGTATTGTGTCAGTTGCATATGTCCACCAAGAGGCAGTTCAATGTTTTCTTTCCTTTTTGAGAGAGAGATTGTCTCAAGTCGGAGGACTACACCTTCAACACTTAAATTGATAATTTTTTTTCCTTTGTAGCTTCTGTGATAGTGTAATATCTCAAATTATCTAAAAAACTTTGTTATGGAATTAATCTGTCCATTCATTTATTCAGTAAGAAATTTCCACTTGGGTGTCAAATATGTTGATTCTGCAGAAATTTGTTAAATTACTTTACCTGGTTCTTTGTAAAATGAGGGAAGAAGTAGAATAGTTAAAAAGTATAATTAATGTGGTTTATTTCCACTTTGTTTTTTATTAGCCCTACTTCCATAATTTTACCACCTTTTCTTTTCCTAAAAATAAAGCATTCTTTTGTTCTAATAGATTACGAGACTAAGGGAAGTTACTTATCCTAATGTAGAGTATTCTTGAAACTATTTTTGTGTAAGTTTGTTAGTATAGTGCAGCCAGCTGGGTCACGGACTACTGGGAGTTCCCAAGACCCTTTCATTGGTTTGAGAGGTTAAAGCTATTTCCCTAAAAATACTAAGACACTATTTGCTTTTTCACTGTGTTGCATTTGTACTGATGGTTCATAAGCAGTAATGAGTAAAACTGCTGTTAGCATGCATCAAGGCAATGTTGCCCTGTTGTCCTAGTAGTTTTTGGCACTAGCAATTTTAAAAAGCTTCACTTACAAATGTTCTTAGAGCAGAAAAATTAGTAATTTTATTAAGTCTTGACTCTTGAGTGTACTCATCTTTATTTCTGTGTGACAAAATGGGAAATACAAGTAAAGTACTTTTGCATATCAAAGTAGTTTTGTAGTTGTTCCAGTCTCAAGTTGAGCTAGCCTATTTTTTCATAATCTTTCTTACTTTAAAGAGCAATTAATTGACTGACTATTCAAACATGACTACTTGGCAGACATTTTCTCAAAAAATGAAGGCAATGGGCCTGTTGATTCAAGGAGAACAACTGACAAAACTTTTGCCATATGATAAATATGAGTTTTCAAGCAAAAATTATGGTTTTTGAAATCTTGGACTGACAGGAAGTGTAATTTTTTAAATTGCATAATAAATGTATCAACACTTGAAAGACCTGTGTAACTCACTAAACCAATATTTTTCAAATGATCAGCGCATGATGTTACAGAGTCATACATGGATAAAAGATTCAAAATGTAAGATAGACTAATGGGTTTTAATGTAACTGTGTAAAGTTTATTGGTATAGTTCAGATTCCAATTGCAACTAAGCTTTAAGGACCTACAACTTGTCAGTTTTAATGTAGAATTGAAAAATACCCATAATTATTATATGAAAAGGTGGATTGAATTATGTAATTAATTAAAAGGTGTTCATTGCTATGGAAAAACATGAAAAAATGGAGCAGGATAAAGGGGAATAGTGGGAGTGCATTTATTTCTTTTTTAGGGAAAGAGAGGAAAGGAGAGGGAGAGAAGATAGAAACATTGGTGATAGAGAAACATCTATCAGCTGCCTCCCTGCACGCCCCCTATTAGAGCTGGAGCCCATCAGCAGCCTCTTGGTACATGGGATGATGCTCAGTCCACTGAGCCAACTGATTGGGCCTTGGTAGTATTAATTTGGCTCATGCCCTAATTAGGAAAACACAGTGGGCTATATTACCTGCAGACAGAAAAATGACAAAATATTTTAATCTATTCACAAAGCTAACACTGCAGTTGTCTTACAAAATAGGTTTGCTTCAAGTTAATACATATATTTCTAAAGTACATATACACACACACATACACACAACAGCATATATTTCTAAAATACATTTACTGGCCCAAACCGGTTTGGCTCAATGGATAGAGCGTCAGCTTGGGGACTGAAAGGTCCCGGGTTCAATTCCGGTCAAGGGCATGTACCTTGGTTGCGGGCATATGCCCAGTAGGGGGTGTGCAAGAGGCAGCTGATCGATGACTCTCTCTCATCGATGTTTCTAACTCTCTATCTCTCTCCCTTTCTCTCTGTACAAAATCAATAAAATATATTTTAAAAATAAATAAATAAAACACATACTGTGTATGTGTATATATATGTGTGTGTGTATATATATATATGTATTTACACACACACACAACAAACAGTAATGTGGACCCAATCAGTATACGTTTTGTCAATTTATAAATTACCTTGCATATTAAAAACAAGTGTCCTGCCGAAACCGGTTTGATTCAGTGGATAGAGTATTGGCCTGCAGACTGAAAGGTCCCAGGTTCGATACTGGTCAAGGGCATGTAACTTGGTCGCGGGCACATCCCCAGTAGGGGGTGTGCAAGAGGCAGCTGATCCAATGATTCTCTTTCATCGATGTTTCTAACTCTATCCCTCTCTCTTCCTCTCTGTAAAAAAATCAATAAAATATAAAAATAAATAAATAAATAAAAACAAGTGTCCTGCTCCATACATGCTCAGAAGGTTAAAATCAAAGAAATATGTCTAATAACTGCAATCTTAGAATCCTAGTTCTTTTCCATGACCCACCTTTTCCTGAGCAGAAGCCGGGGGTGCCTTGAGCTCCTGCCCTGGTGTGGCTAGTGAAAGGCCACTAGAGCCAGAGGAACAAAGATGCAGATTTGCTCCGCAGCTTGAGGCCATCCTGTTGATGGGGTTTTGTGTTTATGCAGCTGATTTAGAGACTGATGACTCTTGGTGGCAGTGTGGCTGAGACTGATCTGCCTTTTCATACCTAGTGAACAATTTCTCTTACCTCTTAGCCCCTTCACCACCACCTAAACTTCTTATTCCTATGCAGACATAACTTGAGTGGGGAGAGCACTTGGGGGTCCCCAGAGACTTCTTGCTTATAAGACGGATTTGCACCGGGGTGTGTGTGTGTGTGTGTGTGTGTGTGTGTGTTAATTTTAACAAGTCTTTTGGTTACACTATACCTGGCTTCAAAACTTTTTTTTTTTTTTTTAATCTCCATGTTGCCCTGACCCGTTTGGCTCAGTGGATAGAGTGTCGGCCTGCAGACTGAAGGGTGCCAGTTTGATTCCAGTCAGGGGCATGTACCTTGGTTGCAGGCACATCCCCAGTAGGGGGTGTGCAGGAGGCAACTGACCGATGTTTCTAATTCTCTATCCTTCTCCCTTCTCTGTAAAAATTAATAAAAAATATATATATATTTTTTAAATCTTCATGCTAAGTAGCTTTTAGCCACTGCTTTACTCAAGGGATCATAGGCCCTTAGGTAGTTAGAACACTTGGCATGCCAGAATTTTTAAACAGTTCTAAATAGTCTGTAATATCAGTGTACAAGAAAGCAACCTTGGCTTTCTTATATCTTTAAAATGTATGATATCTGCCTATAACTCAAATGAGCATTGATCCAGGTAGTTTCACCAAGAATATATCATTTAGGTGCTCTAACCTGGATATCCCAAAGTTATGTAACATTGAACCGTAGAAAATGTCCATCTAGATTTCTGTTGTTACAGAATAATGAACTTCTGTGCTCTTCGGCTATCAAGCTTGACTGATCTCCCTTTGCTAATCAAAACATTTAAAGCAATGGAGTGAGCAACTTAACTATAACTTTTTATTTTAATAGTAAAAGGTCCAACTTAGTCTTTATTGGTAGCAAATTAACTCATAGGCCACATTACTGGATCAGAGGGACTCTCGACCACTTAGAAGGCAAGAAATAAAATGACGGCTTGCTTTAAGGCACTTTCAGAGGGGATTGTGAGGAGAAATTGAAAGGAAGTCTTGATTGTAGAACCAGTGAGACTTGAGGATAGTTGGCTATCAGAAAGCCTCTGTATCCCTTTATCTCAGTTGCAACTAATGATTGTCAGCCCTCAATACTGCATACCTCGGTAATTATAGGAACTTCTTCACTTGGCCTTTTTAAAAACTGTGTGTATGCCCTAGCTGGTTTGGTTCAGTGGGTAGATCCTTGGCCTGCGGACTGAAAGGTTCGATTCTGGCCAAGGGCACATGCCTGGGTTGTGGGCTTGATCCCCAGTGGGGGGCTGCAGGAGGCAGCCAATCAGTGATTCTCATCATTGATATTTCTATCTCTCCCTCTCCCTTCCTCTCTGAAATCAATAAAGAAATATATTTTTTTAATTAAAATATTAGATCCCTAGCCTGTTTTGCTCAGTGGATAGAGCATCGGCCTGCAGATTGAAGGGTCCCGGGTTCAATTCCGGTCAAGGGCATGTACCTGGGTTGCAAGCTCAATCTCTGGTGCCATGTGTAGGAGGCAACCCATCCATGTGTCTCTCTCACATTGAAGTCTCTCTTGTCTCTCCCCCTCCCTTCCACTCTCTCTAAAAATCAATGGAAAAATATCCTCTGTTGAAATTTCTGTTGGAATTTATGTATCTTCTATAATTGAAACTCTGTAGCCTAGAGTGGAGGCTAGGGCTGCAGAAGCTTGGCTTCCTCAATCGCCTGGGGCAACCCTAGCCTCCTTGGCTCAGTGGATAGAGCGTCAGTCTGCGGACTGAAAGGTCCCAGGTTCGATTCCAGTCAAGGGCATGTACATTGGTTGCGGGCACATCCCCAGTAGGGGGTGTGTAGGAGGCAGTTGGTCGATGTTTCTCTCATCAATGTTTCTAGCTTTCTATCCCTCTCCCTCTCTATTAAAAATCAATAAAATATTTAAAAAAAAAAGAATTATAATTAAGGTATTGAAGAGGCTAGTGTGGCTGGAGCAGTGAGAAGGTGAATGGTAGATGAGGTCAGAGGGATCAATAACGAATAGATTGTATAAGATTTTGTAGGCCATTATGAGGACTTCGGTTTTTATTCTGAATGAGTTAGGAAGTCTGGAAGGTTTTTAGCAGAGGAGAGACTGATCTGACTTAAAGTTTTCAATACAATTAAAGATTTCAATACAAAGATTTCAATATAATCAAAGGCTTAGACCAAGGTGGAAATGATGAAAAGTGGTCAAGAGACTGTGATTTTTTTTTTTTTAAGTTCTGAGTCAAAAGACATGTACTTCATTTTTTTCTTAGGGTCCAGTGAGTCCCAGAAATATCAACCACATTCTCTAGTTAAAAACACCTGCTGTTTTTTTTTGTGTGTGTGTTTTGTTTGTTTGTTTGTTTGTTTTTAAATATATTTTATTGATTTTTTACAGAGAGGAGGAGAGAGGGATAGAGAACTAGAAACGTCAATGAGAGAGAGTCATTGATCAGCTGCCTCTTGCACACCCCCTACTGGGGATGTGCCCGCAACCAAGGTACATGTCCTTGACCGGAATCGAACCTGGGACCCTTCAGTCCGCAGACCAATGCTCTACCACTGAGCCAAACCAGGTTTGGCACCTCTGCTGATTTTATAAAAATACTGCTAAAATTTTGATAAATTAATTAAAAATGTATTCAAAATGTTAAAAAAAAAAAAGTGTCCTGAAAAATAATAAAAATCAGCATTTTACAGTTTTTACACCTTCTTCTTAATAGGAACTTTCTATAAGTCTTAGCTATTTCCTTTGGTATTTTCTTCATACTTTCTTTTCTAGTAGATGGGGATTTAGTTATAGTATATCACTCTCTGTTTACTCCTTCTTTTCGTCCTCTCAATATACAGTTCTTTACATCACAGTTTTTTGTTAAATCAATAGTCAGTGCTTACCTTACTATGACAATATAAATATTGTTGATAGAATAGCTAAGTTGTGTATTGACCACTTCATTTTTAATAACTTCATTTTCTTGGATAATTTCATTTTCTCCCTTAGAGTTAATAATTGCCCCACATTTTGAAATATTTGCTTAGTTATGCGAGTATTTATTCTTGAATATTTATTTTCATATGGTCAAATATATTTGTCTATTAGTCTTTTTTCCTCCCTGGAGATCTTATCCCTCTGAATTCTGTCATCCTAATCCTATTTGGCCTGGTTCTTTTTATTTTGTTGTTTTGTTTTTGTTTTGTTAAGTTTCTATTTATTTTAGAGATTGACGGAGGGAGAGAGAGCTAGAAACATCGACGATGAGAAAGAATCATTAATTAGCTCCCTTCTAGGCTCAAGCCCACACTTGGGCTACTAGAATGGAACCATGACCTCATGACTTCCTGATTCACGGGTCAGCACTCAACCACTGAGCCACAACGGTCAGACTAGCCTGGTTATTTTTCTGAGTCTTGACATTTCACTGTCATCTTGGGACTCCATTCTCCCTCTCCTGGGTTATTTTGTTCCTGCATTCAATTCCCTCTTTTTTCCTCCCAGTTTTATTGAAATATTGATAATATAACATAGTATTAGTCTTAGGTGTTCCCTCTTTTTTATTTAACTTGTGGAACAAATTCTTTAGTAGCTGTGTAAGAAAGGGTACAAGATAGGGAATTTCTTGAGTCTATCTTATCGACACTCTTGTGAGGTAGATATTGAGCTTAGTTCTTTCTAACTACCAAAGGTATTTTTGTATGCAGTCAAAAAAATGAAATGTTAAAAAAGTAGTCTTCTAAAATAAAATAAGTTACATTTTAGAACGTTGGTAAACTCCTAGTTGCCTACATGTATACTAACTTATGAATTAAGTAGGTAAGTTGTGTTCTTTTTATTTTTTGAAGATGTGGTGGTACCGTGGGAGCTATTCTGACATGTCCACTGGAAGTTGTAAAAACTCGGCTACAGTCTTCTTCTCTGACGCTTTATATCTCTGAAGTTCAGCTGAACACCATGGCCGGAGCCAGTGTCAACCGCGTAGTGTCTCCAGGACCCCTCCACTGCCTGAAGTGAGAGCACAGTACTCATTTTTACTTTCAGTTTATCTACTTAATGATGGCCGTATATTTGTTTGTTTATATTGACATTTAAAAATTTTTACAAATTTAATAATAGAGTTACTCTGAATTATGTTCATTAATAATGATCATCCAACGTTTTATATTGGCTAATATAAAATGTATTATCTATCTTGTATATATTTGGAATATTTTTTGCACTTATTCAATGGATTTATTTTCTAAAACTATTATAGGTATTTTATTTTGAATTAAGTAATAAGTCCAATTATTGGCAGTTTGTTACTTTTATATAACTTAAACAATAATTGAGATTAAAGCAGACTTATACTGATTTTAAAATGTGATTCAGTGTTTGGCATTCTTGATGCATTAAAAAAGATTTGTTTTTACATTTCACCATACTTTATTATGTTACAAATTGGGTTGAAATTTTAAAACTATTGAAACTAGGTTTTTCATGTTTAAACTTAGGTATGTAACTGAATGCCTTGTGTGTTTGCCTTATCAGTTCAATTGGGACATAATCTGTTTGAACTTAGTTTACTAGTGTTTATTCTGTAGTAGCAAATAAGCTCATACTGTGTGTTTACTTTCTCTACCAAAAGATTTTTATCAGTCTTTTCTTTGTTTAAACTTACCTAAGTACACGAATAGGTAGAATAAAATTGTTAACAAGTTTGAATTAAAATGCCATACTTATTTGTAAATATTTCCGATTAATAAGAATATTTTAATATGATTTTGACATTTATTACCACTGATTACCTCTCAGAGTTCTCCCTTTGTGACAACACTATTTTTCATTATGGTGGTGGTGTTTTTTGCCTTTTATTTTTAAGATTTTTAAAAATTGATTTTTAGAGAGGAGGGAGAGAGAGAAACATCAATATGAGAGTGATACATTGATTGGCTGCCTTCTGTATGCCTCCTATCAGGGATCAAGCCTGTAACCCAGCATGTATTCTGACTGGGAATTGAACCAGCAACCTGTGGTGCATGGAATGATGCCCAACCTACTGAGCCACACCAGCCAGGGCTATTCTGGTTTTCTTTCTTTTAAATATATTTTTATTGATTTCAGAGAGGAAAGGAGAGGGAGAGAAACATTAACGATGAGAGAGAATCATTGATCAGCTGCCTTCTGCAGGCCCCCTATGGATGGAGCCCAAAACCCCAGCATGTGCCCCTGACTGGAATCGAATCCGAGCCCTTCAGTCCACAGGCTGATGCTCTATCCACTGAGCCAAACTGGCTAGGGCAGGACTATTCTGTTTTTCAGTGGTTCTGCATTCTCTGACTTTCCTCAGAGGAACTATAGGACCTCTGGTTGCTGCTGTAATTTCTCACTTTTTCAGGCCCTCTTATATAAGAGTTAATTTATCATGTTTCACCTGTTATCAGTATAAAGGTGATTTCCCAGTCTTCAATCTCTTGTCCTAATGTCTCTTTATTCTGGGGCTCTGTATTATGGCTGCTGCTGCTTCTCCCCCTCCCCTCAACATCTTTATGGAGATTCTAGCCCATGCATTGGGGTGGGGGGTGGCAATCAGGGGTGGGGCCAGCTGGGGGAGGGGCTGTGGGCAGTTGAATTCCTGGTCAAAACTCCCTTGAGGGGACAATTTGCATATTAGCCTTTTATTATGTAGGATAATTCATACACTATAAAATTCATCCATTTAAAGTGTACAATTTAATTGCTTTTGGTTTATTCACAGAGTTGTAGCCATTACTACATTCTAAATTTAGACCAGTTTTATTACCACAAAAAGAAACCCTCACCTATTAGCAGTCACTCCTCATTTTCCCCTTCCCTCTTAGCCTCCTCCCAGCCCTAGGACTACTAAGCCACTTTTTGTCACGATAGCTATGCCTACATAAATAAATTATATGATATGTGGTTTTTGTGTGACTGGCTTCTTTCACGTCACATAATGTTTTCAAGGCTCATAAACAAGTATCTTTATATTGCCAAACATGTCATTGTTTATCTACTCACCTGTTGGTGGACATTTGGGTTGTTCGGTTTGGGGCTATTATGAAAAATGTCACTATAGGGACATAGGTTTTCATCTCTTTTGGGGATATACTAGGAATGGATTTGCTGGATCATATGGTAATTTTATGTTGTTTCACATTTTGCGAAATTGCCAAACTGTTGCCAAAAGTGGCTATATTCTACATTCCCGAGACCAGTGAATGAGATTTACAATTCTGCACATCCTCTCCAGCCCGTTTATGTCCGTTTGTTTTACTGTAGCCATCCTGGTGGGTATGAGTGTTTCATGGCTTCTTCACCAGGAACTTTAGGAGACCCCAGGGCTCTCTTAAGTTTTTAGATGGCCATAGATGAGCTGCAAGACGTCTAAAAAATTAGGTGACGTTGTATACAAAATTGTATTTGCAAATGTGTATATATATATATATTTTAAAGGACAGCTACCTTTTTTTTTTTTTTAAATATATATTTTTATTGAGTTTTTACAGAGAGAAAGAGAGAGGGATAGAAAGCTAGAAACATCGATGGGAGAGAATCATCAATCAGCTGCCTCCTGCACACCCCCTACTGGGGATGTGCCCGCAACCAAGGTACATGCCCTTGACCGGAATTGAACCTGGGACCTTTCAGTCTGCAGGCCGACACTCTATCCACTGAGCCAAATTGTTTTCAGCAACAGCTACCTTTCTTAATTTCTGAAGGGGACTGTGATACAGAAAGGACTAAAAAGCACTGAATATTCAAAATGTGCTGTATAATTTGTTATTCTTAACTCGGTTTCTGTCGAATCTAGTTTTATCAAAAATGATTCTGGGCACCTTCCCCTTTTCTCCTCTGCCTTCACCCCCCTCTTTATGCTGTCAAAACAGATGTTTCATAAGTAAAAAAAACTGACCAGAGCAGCATAATACATTACAGTACAAACATAGTGGGATTTAGATGCTAACTTTGCTATACAAATATAGGACCAGACTTGGAAAGTTATTTCTAACTCATGTTTTTCTCTTTCAGGGTGATCTTGGAGAAAGAAGGACCTCGTTCTTTGTTTAGAGGATTAGGCCCCAATTTAGTGGGGGTGGCTCCTTCCAGGTAAAAAACAAAAGCAATTATCTCAATCTTTTCTGTTTGAAACTGAATGAAGGGGCATGGTGAGGAGAAGGTGGTAAGGATAAAGCAGTGTGATGTAACAAACAGGTCTCAGGAAGCATCTGATAGGTTGGGGAGGTTGCACCATGTGGAGATGCAAAGGAACTCATAGTGAGATTATTGTGCCAAGTTTAAAAGGCAAAGAACAAACTAAATCGACTAACAGAAAGAAAGGGGAAGACCTGAATCTTCAAAACTAATCCTATTTTTTGGTTTAGGAGACAAGCTAAACAGAATGGTTTCAATCCCTATTTAAGAAGCCAAAAAAGGCCTTCATACATTAACTTAACATTTTTCTCAGATATAGTTTTATCTTAGAATGACTTCTTCCATGATAGAATACTGTGCAGATTTCACATTCAGAGTGAAAATGCATACCTAGCTTTCTGTATCCAAACAATATACTAGGCCCATGGACTATTTTCTCCCTTAAAAAATTACCCAAATTTTGTCCTTACTATAAAGACTAAAAAAATAAGTATAGCAAGCTTGTCCTTCTACCTTAAGCACATCACCTCTTTCTCACCCAGTGCACACTCCCTTCCCACACACACTTTTTTTTTTTTTTTTTAACAAAACCATCATTAATAAACAGTGCAGTGGATATCTGGCCTGTCATGTACATAAAATGTATATGTAGACTTAACTACCCTTTACATATATTTAATATTAAAAATATTTTGCCCAATTTTTTTGAATGATTTTTCCATGAAAATGTGTAGAGTTTTTTCAAAATTGCATAGTATGACTATTCTCTTATTAATAAGCATTTTTTAAATTGATAAGCCTTTAGGTTTATTTTCAGATTTTTGCTGTTAAAAACAATGGTTTTGTACTTTTGGCAATTGTGGCTCAGTTGATTGGAGCATCAGTCCACACACCAAAAGGTGGTGAGTTTGATTCCTGGTCAGGTTACATACCCAAGGTGTGGGTATGTACACATCAAATTAATGGTTCTCTCTCTTCCTCTGTTAAAAAACAACAACAATAATGGTTTCGTGAACTTCAATGTACCTTTATCTTTGAGTACTTTACATATTTCTTTCTTTAGGATAGTTACCTAAAAGTAGAATTTCTGGATAAAAGGGCACATGCACATTTACAATTAATAAATATTGCTCATCTGCCTTCTGAAAAGGCAGTCTACATTTTTATTCTCAAATAGTGAATTATTTGCTCTTTATTCATGTAATACCAATTCTGGTTACTATTTATGTCTTTCTTAAAAAAATATTTTATTGGTTTTAGAAAGGAAGGGAGAGGGAGGGAGAGAGACAGAAACATCAATGATGAGAATCATTGATTGGCTGCCTCCTGCATGCCCCTTACTGGGGATCAATCCTGAAAACCAGGCATGTACCCTTGGCCAGAATCAAACCTGGGATCCTTCAGTCCACAAGCAGATGCTCTACCCATTGAGCAAAACCAGCTAGGGCTTTTTTATGTCTTTTAATACTTGCCAAATAGATTAAACATGATTTTTCACTGTTTTAATATACATTTGTTTATTTTTTTATATAATCACACCCTCCTTGCAATTGTTTGTATCTCTTTTGTGAATTATCTGTGTATATTCCTTGCTTATTTTCTCTTTAGAATGTCTTTCTTTTGAAAAAAAATTTATTGATTTTTTACAGAGAGGAAGAGAGAGGGATAGAGAATCAGAAATATCAATGAGAGAGAAACATTGATCAGCTGCCTCTTGCACACCCCCTACTGGGGATGTGCCACAACCAAGGTACATGCCCTTGACTGGAATCGAACTCCGGACCTTTCAGTCTGCAGGCCGAGGGTGCATCCACTGAGCCAAACCGGTTTCAGCTCTTTTTCTTTTTTTAAATATATTTTTATTGATTTCAGAGAAGGAGGGAGAGGTAGAGATGAGAGAGAATCATTAATCTGCTGCTTCCTGCACACCCCTACTGGGGATCCAACCTACAATCTAAGCATTTGCCCTGACCAGGAATTGAACTGTGACTTCCTGGTTCATAAGTTGATGCTCATTCAGTGAGCCACACCTACCAGGCTCTTTTTTCTTATTGATTTCTAGGAATGCAGTGTTTATTTATGTTCACGATTTGGCATCATTAAATGTATCCTATATTTTCCTTTTTCATAAAACAGAACGTTTTATTTTAAATTATATTCACTCCCTCCCCCCTTTTTCTTTATTCTCAACTGAGGATATGTTTATTGATGAGCGAGAGACAGAAAGAGAAAGGGAAACATTGATGTGAGAGAGGAACATCAATCAGTTGCCTCCCATACATGCCCCAACTGGGGATTGAATCCTCGACCTTTTGGTGTATGGGACAACACTCAATTATTTTTTCTTGTTTAAGGAAATTATGAAGTGATCTGTGTATAGTACAGATTAGAATATACTATAGTATCTCAAAATTGTTTAACATACATTTTGATCAATTGAGTCAATTTTATCTTTCTTTTCTCCTCCCTCCTCTCCCCCAAAAATATATATGTGCTCATACCATATTTCTTTAATTCAAATGTATTTAATTTATCCTTAGTGCTACCTAAGTCTTCCAGCCTTATTCCTGTGTTTTCAAAATTTTAGACAAATACTTTCAGTTATAGTTAGTTGTTCTCAGAGTATTGGGGCAGGGTGAAGAGATGTCTGTTTGAGGAACTTTATTTATATTTGAGGGTTTTTTTTCTTGTTTTTTTGTGGTGGTGGTGTGTGTGTGTGTGTGTGTGTGTGTGTGTGTGTGTGTGTGTTTTCAGAACTCACCCAAGGATATTTTTCTATCACTTGTAGATACAGTGGAAGGAAGGAAAAGGGGTGGGGGAGGGAGGAGAAAAACATCAATTTGAGAGAGACATGTCAAATGGTTGCTTCCCACATGGCCCTGACATACCTGGCCAGGGAAGGAACCTGCGACCCAGGTACCTTGACCAGGAATTGAGCCGCTCTAACCACTGAACTCATCAGTCTGGGCACATGTCTTCTTCATGTCATTTAACTCTTATGAATTAAGCAATATGCCTATTGATAAAATTTAAATCTTTATTTTAGAGCAATATATTTCGCTGCTTATTCAAACTGCAAGGAAAAATTGAATGGTGTATTTGATCCTGATTCTACCCAGGTACACATGATTTCAGCTGCAATGGCAGGTATGACTATATAATATTAAAAAAAAAATTTCTGAAACTTAGAGACTTAATATATTGAATTATGATAAATTTGTAAAGTTAAGACAATGTGCTTCTAATTGATTAGCATCCATAAACATGATTTTTGCATTTATTAGTATATAATAAATTTGACCAGGCCGTATATGTAAGAGTTGTTGTCATTTGGCATTTTGTAGTTAGGAATTTGTGATAGCACACAGATAATAGACTATTTACATTGTCTTGCGTAGTTTACTGAATATTTAACTGATCACTTTTAACCTTTGTAAGAATCCAATCATAATTACAGTATCAGTAAGTTATGGAGCTGTAATTTATTCTTCTCTCCTCAATTTCTGTTAGTGCCTTTTCCTTTCTGCTGCATGTTTTGGCTTCTGTCTGAAATGTGCCGGCAGTTCTTGGTAAAGTATTCATTTTGTCCTGTGCTCAAATGCTGACATTTTTGTGAGTGATGTATTACTGATAACTCAAGAGTTACTGTAATGTATGTATATTGAAAAATATGTTTAGCATTTCACATAAATCACACTGGATGGCACTTGAAATCTAGGCACTGGTTATGTATGTGCTTGCTATGGAAATGTTTTCAGGAATTCTTCTGTCATCATTGAGTATGTATGACTCGGAATTAAAACAACCAGTCCTGGGCTTCTCTCTGCCCTGCCTTAAAGAGACACTAAACTGGCAGATTGGTTTGGCCAGTCTGGCTCTGGAATCATTTTTTTGCTATGCATATCAAAGCCATGACTTTTGGTTCTCATTAGAAAAATCTGTACAGTTTTTTTGAGGTTTGTTGCATATTGAACCATGTCTCTCATTTCTAAATTATGTTAGACTTTACAAAGCAAGTTATATGTACTTTCTTCACTTGTTGATCAATTAATTGTCAGTTATGTGCTTAACAATGAGTGCCTTAAACTGTTAACCATTTTCTGTTTAGAAATAAATTGGATCAATTTGAACCACATACTTAACGAACTAAGTGTAAGTTTGAAATGCTAATTTCTGAAAGATCAATTGCCATATAATGTAACATATACCTTATAAAATATTTTCAAGGCTTTTTATAGTTAGTAATTGTTGATTAACTCATTGACATTTTAAAGCTGGAAGATAAAACTTTAAAGATCAAGGCAACATACTCTTTATTTACCAATGTGGAGAGCTCTTGGGCGAGTTAAGTAATTTATGTGAACTTCCGTTACCTTATCCTTAGAGTGAGTAGGTTGTCCTGCATAGATTTGCATCTTGAGAAGTAGTTCTTCAGTATCATAGAGGTCACCTACTTAAAATGATATTTTTAATGTACTTTTTATATATGTTGAATATGAATAGATAGGATTTTTCCTCTGCACATTCAGCAGGTATAAGGTAAAAGTTAGTAGCTAATTACAAAGTATAGGATCTTTAGAATATATTTCTGGGTTACTAGTGTTTAAACATTTTTGTTTTTTAACCCCAGAAATTTTTAAAGAAATGTTAATCTTTTATTTTTGAAATAATTAAAACCAAGAAAGTAGATCAGCAGTCATTTTAAGTGGAGGAAAGTTGGTAGATAGTGAGATTGCAAATTCAGTTTCAGAATTTTTGAGTCCCACTGGAACTTTTTTTTCCCCCATTAGAGTTTCTTATCAGAAGTTATTATATTTGATTCACATTGCAAAGAATTTCAGTGGTATTGTTTTTTGATTTTTTTTCTCCTAGATATATACAAGTATTAACTTTGTTTTTATTCTAAACATTGATACTATTTCTCAACTTGAATTTCGGATATTGATAGTCTTATACCTGTTTAGAGATTATTGCACTATATACTTGTGTAATTTGAAAATACTTCCATTTGTTTGCAGTTACATTTTTTTTTCTCTAAGATTGTGCTTGCAGAACTACCTTGCATTGTTTACAAGTATTAACATTTAGCTTTTCGGTTGTTATAAACATAACTACACGGTTGGTGAAACGGAATGGTCCCATGCAGACTCATTAAGGTAGCCTTTTGCCCCCTTCGTTCTTGAAATAATCTAGACCAGACTGCTCTGGTTTTTCTTCAGGATCATTTTTAGAGGCTTTATAGATATGAATTGGGGGTGCAAAGTGCTTAGAGGCAGTCATGTGAAAATTGTTTTCTAATTGGCTATTAAAAAAAAAATGCTAACCTTGTCACTTTAATATAAAAAAACACACTAAAAGAAGTCCATTAATGATATTGCCTGCTATATTGTACCACATCAAGTAACACACATTAAGGATTTAGTAATATTGTACTTTGTACATAATTTTTATTTCAAGTCCTCAAATCATTTGCATTTTATCCATATGAACTATAGTTACTAAACCCTTTAGGCAAAAAGGACATTTTGAAGTGAATCTTATTTTCATTTGTTGTAGTATTTCAAGGGAATACAAAAGAATTTGTAAACCTCTAAATTGAGCTCTAAATGTCCATACACTGATTTTTTTTTTTTTTTTTTTTTTTTGGTAAGGCTATTTAGTCACATTAAGAAATGTTGATTTTTTTTGTGCTTTACCTGTCTTTTTTTTTCCTTCCTACATATGACTTTTGTCAGGCTAAATGAACTTAGCTATTTAGGTATTTGTATATTTTTACTTAAATGAACTTACATATCCCTCTATATATACCTACACACAGTGTGTACTAAAAAAAATAGAATTAGTTTTTTTTCCTAGTAATTCCCAATTTTTAAATTTTTTAATCTAGAATATATATACTTTTATATATAGCATTACAGATTTAAAGAAAATGACTTCCAACTTTTATTGGATTATATATTCACAAAGTTATCACTCAATTTTTAAAATACATGTAATTGTTTAACATTTACTAGATTTGCTTATAGCAATTACTTTTATTTTTCAAGACATATTTTTCTGTTTGACTCAAAGTTTACTATCAAAGGTTAAGTTTTTGAGTAAAAATTTAAATAGAAATTATGTCTTGCATATGTTTGTCCATGGCAGTTCATTCAGCCAGATTGATGGTTGGACAGGTGCTTAGTGTGTTTGTCTGTAAACATTCTTCCTGTTTTTTTGTTTTGTAGAACACAAGAAATTAAATACAAAATAACCCAAAATATTCCATAAAAATGGATGTCAATATTACTGGCCATAGTGCAAAAGGTGAAAGGTACTACTGTAGCAGCATATGCTATACTGTATTTCATTTAAAAATTATAATTAAAAACGAAGTTCCTTGAATATTCTCGGTGATTTTTTTTTTCCTTTAAGGTTGACTAAGTGAGCTGATTATTGTGATTTCAACTTGGATCATGGTAGATGATAATGGCAGGAAAATGGGATATGATTATCCTCTCCAAATATTTTATTAGATTTCCCTTTGACAAGGTTAGCATTTTTTTCTTTAAGGCATAATTGTTCTTCTTTTAGGTAAGTATTTGGACTCTGAAATTGCTGCAGATGGCAAAATTTTCAGTACTCAGAACATTAAAAAAAAAAAAAAAATTATGGCCTGGTATTCCTTCCTTTCTTTTTTTTTTTTTTTAGCTTAAAATTTTCAAGAAGTTAGATCTCACCGTAAATATTTCTCAAATCCTTCCAATGGGATTCATTTTGTACACATGTTTCTGATGAGGTCACTGCTTGTTGTTATGATACAGAAAAGCCTGTGTCTATTTTAGGCATTTACTGTACATTTCTCCCGAGAAAAGAGTGAGATCGTGTCATCTCATGCTCCCCATCCGCAGGTCACTTCCTGTAGAAATATGGACTAACTTAAACCTCGTGAGTACTGATCTGAGCATCTCTTGCAGCCTCTAGTTATAAGAAATACTCCCTGGGAATTTATAATAGCTGTGGAATTAATAGAAGGCGGGAAATGAACTTGTATTTCCGGAATTTGTGTGTGCATTATCTGAATATTTTATAAAGCTTTAATTCCGATCCCTTTATAATATTCCTTCTAGAAGGACAAATGGGGTAACTTTTCAATCACCATGTAATAAAAGCCTGGGGTCCTTAGGTTGGCCATAATTGTTTTGACCACTAAAGAATTGGATAACACTATTTAAGATATACACACTAGTTAGAACTGGTATCATAGCATCCTACAACCTTTAGAAAAAAATAACTGTTTGCAGAGCATAACCTATTTTAAATGTCTAATACAGTGCTTTCTATTCTCTTGTCTGTTGATACTTGGCTTTTTTCCTACTCTCACAAAAAACATTGATCTTAATACCTACCATTACTTTCCAAATAAATGGACGATAAGAATATATAGGATCTTAGCTGTTTTTATTTTAATTTTCTTTTAGTAGTATTAATATTTTTCCCTTAGAAAGTTAGGGTGGGCTTTGTTACTAAAGAAGTTAATTGAAATAAAAAAATATTAAAAGTGCAATATTACAGGTATCACTCACTTAATGAAATAGACATTTTCAGCAAGTTTACTATAAATGGGATTTCTGTTAACCTGGTTTTTAATTGCTTTATATCAGCGATTTTCAACCAGTATGCTGCAAGAATTTTAAAACATGACAAATGATACCTGACTATTTAGTCAGGAGCATAGACCTCTTTTCCTTTATATTGGCAAATTAAAAAAAAAGAAAATTATAAGAGCCAACAAAACAATAGTTATCTGCTGTGAATGAATCAAAAATATCTTTGTGTGTATGTATGTGTGTGTGTGTGTGTGGCAGATTTTTAGTAATTAGTTTATGTGTGCCATGAGATGAAAAAGGTTGAAAATTGCTGGGTTTATGTTATTAAGTGGAGTCTTAGATGAAGCAAAACTTAAAATTGTATTTTAAAAGTTTTTCAAAACTTCCTAATAAAACACTAACCACACTACTAACAGTATGGCCAGTGTTATTGCCACTTTGCTTTAACTGACTGTGGAGCAACATTAATTCTTAACCTACAAATAGCTTCTTCATAGACCTCTAAGTCAGTTTTAATATTTAACAGGGATATTACTATGGATTAGTATATTAACAAAATGTCACAAAATTTAAATGCCAAAATAAAAAGTATTTGGAAATTTCAGGGCACCATTCCCAGTATCATTGTGTATGTTTTCTTAGAAAAAATAAGAAGATATGTTTAGTTTTGGCTGTTTGTCCACTTAAAATTGCCTTACCATATATAATTCTAAATTAGTGATACATTTTTGTTTCTTCCCACTTACTTCACTTTTTGAATTAATAGATTATACTTTTCTTGATTTAATTACCCTAATAATATCTACTTAATTTATTGGAGTATCTTTTGTAAGAGAAGATCATTAGCTAAAAACCTGTGGATATGTCTACTAAATTCTTTAACCTAATGGTTTGCTGGCAGTTAGGCTAGTGTCCTTAAGTGTTAAAACTATATAGTAAGCACAGGTTACTGCTAATAGCAGTTATATAGGGATTAGATGACAACATTCTCTCACCTGAATTTTGATGTATTCTGTTCCATAAATTAATTTGTGTCTGGAAATGAATTTTAGTTAAGTGAGAAATACCTGTTGTTTGCTTTCTGTCTTTGTTTAATATATACAGAGAATAATTAAAATTATAACTTATGGGTATTTTGAAATTTCATTTTTTATAATATAAATGATTAATGTAACATTTTAAAGTTTACATATCTGGAGGTTTTTCTGCCTCTGAGGAATTTTGTGACTTGGAAGAGTATTAAGCTTTGGGTACTAAGTTTCTATTTTTAGAAGTAGAACATAATTACTTTTAAAAATACTTAGATGTTTATCTTCTTTTCAAATAAAGTGTAATAAGTTGAGTGAGATTTTTACCTAGACAGGCTGGGGTTGTTTTTTTTGTTTGTTTGTTTTGTTTTTTGTTTTATTTAGTTTAATATAAGAATTCCCTGGCCTTTTTAAATTTTCACAGAATAATTAATAAAAACCAGTATGTGTAATGTAGATTATTTTGTTGATTTGATTAGCAGTCATTGTTAATTTTTTTTACTAATAAACCCCTAATATTGCTGTACATTCATTTGGCTAATACAAATATTTAAGTTTAAAAATAAAGAATTATTAAATTAAGGATATGACCAGAATACTGATGTCTGGTTCATATTAGCTTGAAAGAAAAATTTGAGTATCTTTAGTTTGACTTTCACTTAGAAAAATGAGGTTTAAGAGAAGAAAAAAATATGTATACTATAAAACTTCATTCTCAGACTAGGTCATGCAAGAGATCTTTTCAAAACAAAATATTTAAACTGATCTGACAGTTTCATATTTTTCATCTCCTTCCTGTTGCTAGAATATAAGTGTGGAAAGAATCTTAGTCCTGGCAACCTATCCAACAATTTAAATTTTTATTATTTAGTACTGACTAATGTTTATCAAATTATTGGTCCCGTTTTAGTTTTATACATAAGTATGTAGTATTTAAAAGCACTTAGAAAGAAGAAGACTATTTAACCATTACAAGATTCTTAAAGGAGTTATATAAAACTTTTATTTCATTTACTTGCTTGATAGATTTGATTTGAGCACTCCTTTGTGAAACATTTGGCTATTTCTGCAGTATCAAAGCAGTGGATTAAGGGAGTAAAATTTGAGTTAGCTAATTATCTAATATTATAAAAAGGGAAAAGAACCTGTGTAACTGAATTCCAGTTTGTATACAATTTAGTAAAATTATTTTGCATTTATCCCTAATATATACCACAGCATTTTGGTTTCCAAAAGTACTTTACTCATATTAAATGTGTTGGTTAGAGTCCACCTTTCTAAAAATGATATGCTTGACCTGCTAGTATTCAATAGAAAGTATTAATTCAGTTTTAAAAGTAAACTAGAGGTGCCTCTCCCCCAAGTTTCTCTCTTTAGTGTCTGTAAAAGTGAGAGGGAAGTTTCCATTTGTAACTTTTTGAATCTTTGAGTTTTTGTATGTGTTTAAGTGGGTGAAAAATAGATCTGTCCTATTAATCCTAACAGAAACCTTTCCTCTTTCATACCATTATTTTAACAGTATTAAGCATCTGTTTATGTAAAGCATTCATAAGGCCAAACAACAACCTTTTCTGTTACACAGTCAGCTCAAGATTAAATATTAGTAAATGCCGAGTCCATTTGGACAAAGTGGTTTGTGATGTTAATTGGACCCCATGTTTAGTGATTGTAGTATTTGCATGCCAAAAACCCCTAGAACATGCAAACTTTTTATATATTTTTCTGTAGAAATGGGTTTCTGAATTTAGTGAGAGAGTAGAGGCCATTCCAGAGGATAGTCTGAATATTTTGGGAGAAATTTATATATAGTCAGATTTTGCTCTTAAAACATTATGTTTTAGTTATTATGGTCAGAATTTGAAAATGTAGTTTGGAAATAAAGTACAGATGTTCATGTTTGTATGGATTTATAAATAAAAGCATAAAGCATATGTCAGTTAATAATTTAAATATTTATTTGCATTTTCTTTAATATAGATTTATATAATTTTTAAAACCTTAGAATAATAGTGTATTCATTTTTACCAGAGTTCATTTTAAACATGTTTGTTTAGGTTTTACCGCAATCACTGCAACCAACCCCATTTGGCTTGTAAAGACTCGGTTACAGCTTGATGCAAGGTATGTTATTTAATTAAAACAAAATTATTAAACTTGGTTTCAATTAATTTTTTCTATAAATTTATATCAGTGAGATTTCAGAGTCTCCTTTTTTGCTGCTGAATTCTTTTGTTTTGAACATAGTGATTCGTGATGTTAATTGGACCCCAAGTGGGTCTACCATCAGAAGCAAAAGCAGTATAGTAGTTGGCAGTGTGAGACTTTCAGGGAAGAAAGTGTATCATGGGTTGTGTTTTTAAATAAAAGAAGAGAGAAAGAAGAAGGATATATTAACCTAGCCCAAGTAGTTATGGGAGGTTATAATCGATCTCTCAACAGCTAAATAATTAACATGATCAACCAATTTAGACTACATCTTTGAGGATCATTGCTCAAATTCAGTAACCTTATATACAGAAAGTCCGGGCTTGGGATTTTGCTCTCCTTTATTCATAGACTTCATCTGTTACCACTGACAATTTTATGGTAACAAGATTCATTCATTCGACAAATCTGTATTGAGCAGGCACTGATAGGTTCTAGACATACCAGGAAACAATGTGACCAACTTTGATGGAATAGTCAAGGAATGGTTTTTTGAGCCCAATTTAAGCAAAGGCAACAATCAGCGAGCGCAAACCATACAGGTTCTAAGTTTAGGGCCGTTGGCATGTTCTGGGATCTGAGAAAAGGCCAGAAGCAAAGCAGCTTAGTCTTGCCATCTCAGTTTCTGTTGCCTTTAGAACAGAGGATGGGGAGAAGCTGATACTGTTAAGTAGAGACATGATCCCATCTGGTGTATAATAATAATGGTAATAATTTTGAAACCAACTTAGCCTTTCAGTCTAGAGTAGACTGCTATATTCTAGGTAAGTAGTGTTATGTCTTATAGACTATAAATAAAACTGATATAAGAAATTATTAATAATTACAGTTGATTAAAGATCTATTTTTCACATTTTGTCTTACTGAACTGCGTAATGTTTGAAGATTTGAAAAGAAATGTCTAATTCTTTCATCTGGAATACTTTTTAATGAAATCTTATGTGTTGTAGCAAAACTCAAAAGTGTATTTCTGAGAGAGAATCTCGATCAGCTGCCTCTTGCACACCCCCTACTGAGGATGTGCCCGCAACCAAGGTACATGCCCTTGACCGGAATCAAACCTGGCATCTTTCAGTCTGCAGGCTGATGCTTTATCCATTGAGCCTAACCGGTTTTGGCAAAAGTGTATTTCTTAAAGCCAAACATCTGAAAGATAATAATGATGGATAAGAAAAACTAAAGGTTAGACAAAGTTTGAGATGCCAGCCTATTTTGTACTGTTATAAACTAGTTGTATTCTTCAGTGTGTTATAGGATGGATTTATAGAGGATCCAGGAAAAGCATGGATAAAAATTCTTTAATATTATTCTTTCACTTATAGTTGTAATACAAGTTAACATATTTCCTTAGGCTTAGGAGTGAGGAATGGAACGAGGTTGAGGTAATCATGAAACTGATTTAAATATGCTAATTTATAACACTGCAATCAAGAACAGAGCTGAGTATTTGTTTGCATGTTACCCTTCGGGACTTTTAGCATTTTCAACTTTATAAGCAAGGATCTGATGGCAGAAATTCATTCCAGATGGTTGCCTGAGTTATTCAGCTAAGTATTTATTCAGTGTCATTTGTGAAGACAGGTCTTAGTTCATAAAATTGGAAGAATTTGTAGATTATGAGTTAGGTGTCTTCATTATGGTTTTTATTTTATGTCAGAAACAGGTTATGTATAATTTATAAAGAGGTAAATCTTCTATTTTTTTCCCCGGTGGGTAACATTTAAACCCTTTTCTTATAAATGGGGTTCTATTGGAGGAATCATTATGTGAGGCTATAAATATTTTTACAGACTCAAAATTCTATACTTGTAAGAATAGATGCGGTGCCGTAAAAAGCAGCACTAAGAACATTTTCTTGGGCCCAATGTTAGATAAATACTTGGTAACTGTACAGATCCTTGTTCACTCCTCACTAGGATGCTGAAATGAAAGGTATGGCCATGGCCTTTAAAGGGTCATAGTAAGTTAGTAAGTAGTAAGTTAAATTCACCCCGTCACTTTTTGAGAAGAACTGGGTGGGGTTGGAGGAATCCCTCAAGTGCACAATTAATTTTGTGATATACTGTCATCATTAGTGTCTCAGTCATTTTTTTATGTTATTAAATGCAAAAGAAAATTTAGAACTGGATTTAATGATGTATTTTTTGTTTGTTTTTATCTTGAGCTTCAGTCACAGTATATTTGAACTAAAGGATTTTTAAAATATATATATTTTATTGATTTTTTACAGAGAGAAAAGGAGAGAGAGAGAGCTAGAAACGTCAATGAGAGAGAAACATTGATCAGCTGTCTCCTGCACACTCCCTACCAGGGATGTGCCTGCAACCAATGCATATGCCCCTGACCAGAATGGAACCTGGGACCTTTCAGTCCGCAGACCGACGCTCTACCACTGAGCCAAACCAGTTTCGGCGGAACTAAAGGATTTTGTTGCTTATCCCTACAATACAGACTTTAGTGAGGACATGAAATTGAAAATTCAGTGCAATATATTTCACATTCAGTCAAATAAACTACACATGTTACCCATCTAATATGACACATTTGGGATAAAAGAATACAAAATCTAAAAATGTTTTAAAATTCTGATTTCATTTCTTCATAAGGGAATTATTCTTTATATCAGAGTGGCATGTTTCTACTATATTTTATTTGCTTTATTTAAAAACCAATACTACTTTACTTACATTAAAAAGATATTTTGCTTTTCAGGAACCGTGGGGAAAAGCAAATGGGCGCTTTTGAATGTGTTCGTAAAGTGTACCAGACTGATGGACTGAGAGGATTTTATAGGGGCATGTCTGCTTCATATGCTGGAATATCAGAGACTGTTATCCATTTTGTTATTTATGAAAGTATTAAGCAAAAACTACTGGAATATAAGATTGCTTCGACGATGGAAAATGATGAAGAGTTTGTAAAAGAAGCAAAAGATTTTGTGGGAATGATGCTGGCTGCCGCCACCTCAAAAACTTGTGCCACGAGTATAGCATATCCACACGGTAAGAGAAGTTGAGTTTCTCTGGGTAATATTTTGTTAATTCAGAAATACTCTCCCACCCCAGCCATTAGCCCACTTAGAGAATTTGGAATTTTACTGAACTTCCATGTAACAAAATACAGTTCTTAGCATTCGTCATAGTGGGATTAAATGTGTATAAGTAATACAAAGCAGTTTTAATAGATAATATGCTATAATAGCATGGCATGATATAGCGGGAGCTCTGGACACATTTTAAAGCAGAGTCAGTCAGATTCCAAGCAGATGACTTTGGGCAAATTATTTTTTTATTTTATTTTAAACATGGATATAGTGCTATATATACTTTATACATGCTGTATATACACACACACACACACACACACACTCTTAAAATTTCAGAGAGGAGAGGATGGTAGGGAAGGGTGAGAAAGAGAGAGAGAGAGATACATCAATATGAGAGAGAATCATTGATCGGCTGCCTCCTGCATACCCCCTACTGGGAATCGAGCCTGCAACCTGGGCATGTGCCCTTGACCGTAGTCAAATGTGGAATCCTTCAGTCCACAGGCTGACTGAACCAAACCAGATAGGGCCTAGAGTCCAAAATTGAATTGAAGTCTGTATTCCCAAATATCGAGCTATTTTACATTATTTCATGTTGGCAAATAAATATATATGAGTGATTTCTTTTATTTTTAAGTTTTACAATGTTAGCTAAGGAAAAACTTAAGAATTGGTCTGCAACGTGCTGAGTTTTTCTAGTAACTTTGTTTTAAGTGTAGTCTTTGATTTTGGTGTGTTTGAGGTTTGTTTTGGTTCAGTTTTTTTAATCTAAGCACTTCATTATTTATTTATTTATTTATTTTGCAGAGCAAAGGTTTTTGGTAGGGTATTTTATTTTATTTATTTATTGAATTTTAGAGAGAGAAACATCCATCTGAATTCCACTTATTTATGCATTCATTGGTTGATTCTTGTATGTACCCTGACCGGGGATTAAACCCACAGCCTTGGCATATGGGGATTATGCTCTAACCAGCTAAGCTACCTGGCCAGAGCTAATTGCTTCACTTTTGTTACACTAATAAACATCTATAGCCAAAACCGGTTTGGCTCAGTGGATAGAGCGTCGGTCTGTGGACTGAAAGGTCCCAGGTTCAATTCCAGTCAAGGGCAGGTACATTGGTTGAGGGCACATCCCCTGTAGGGGGTGTGCAGGAGGCAGCTGGTCGATGTTTCTCTCTCAATGTTTCTAATTCTCTATCCCTCTCCCTTTCTCTCTATAAAAAATCAATAAAATATATTAAAAAAAAACACATTTATATTCACCCTATAAAAGCTAAGGCTCTGTGATTAAAGCTGTATTAGGAAAAATGAACAGGTCTAGAAAATGAGTATATGCTTTAAAATGTAATTTATGAATGAAAATAACTCTAGCCAAGTTGGACTATGAATTTATCTCAGTTTCCCGAGGAAAGTCCTCATTTCTCTCTTTAATATATTTTATTGATTTCAGAGAGAAATAATAATTAATGGGCTGCCTCCTGCAAGCTCCCTACTGGGGATCAAGCCCACAACCCAGGCATGTGCCTTGACTAGGAATTGAATTGCAATCTCCTGATTCAACCACTGAGCCATACTGGCTGGGTAGCAGCTTGTATTTTAAACACTTTCAGTCTTGTCTACATGCAATTTTTGTTGGTACATGCAGACCATTGTAGACAGATTAGTAATTCTATTTTCTCATTGTGCTGTCCACTTTTCTGCTTCTTTCACCTTTGATACCACCTCCATTCCCTTTCCTGCTCCTTCACCTTTTTCCGATCACATTTATTCTCCCTTTTATCTATATCTAGTATAAAAAGGATCCTTTTATTTCATTCTGTCTTTCACCATTCAGGAATCTATGAAATTTTTATAAGTACACATGACTTTAGCCAGCAATCTTAGAAGTTTGGTGACGTTATAATGTGACTAGTTTCAGTAAGTTACATATCAAAATTGCTCATTTATCCTAAGCTTACACTTAAAGTAAATGGGATGTGTTCAGTATTAAGAGGATGTAAAGATACCACTGATGTTTAAATAAAATGATCTTATTTTTTTTTTCTAAACAGAAGTTGTAAGAACAAGACTACGTGAAGAGGGAACAAAATACAGATCTTTTTTTCAGACACTGTCTTTGGTTGTTCAAGAGGAAGGTTACGGGTCTCTTTACCGCGGTCTAACAACGCATCTGGTGAGACAGATTCCCAACACAGCCATCATGATGGCCACCTATGAATTGGTGGTTTACCTGCTCAATGGATAGCAATGTCAGGCCGCCGGATAGAAAGAGGGAAGACCAAAAGAGTACAGTGGACCATGGAGTATCGGAACCAGCATGATGGACAGAAGAAAAATGGTTTGGGAGCGTGTCACTGTGTCTAAGTGGAAGTCTGGTTGTTGGAATTCAAATAATCATAATCACATTACTTGACCTTTTCAGTAATGTGAATAAAACCTGGCTGCCTTCGAGAAAAAGCCTTTAGAAGCACTCCTTCCTCAAAATTGCCATTTTCTCTACCATGTCCATGGGACACAGCTGCATTTTGTTTATTTGTGGCAGAGTATAGTATTTATTCCATGAATACTTTTCCAGTCTTCTAAACAAAGCCATCCCTAGTTATATACTAGTCTATAAGCTATCCAAAGATAGTATTGGCGATCATAAATTTCTAACTTTTGGCTTCTGTGTAATTCTTATGAAATAACAGAAATAGTGTGATTCTCACTATCACTTTCACATTAGTCCTTGAGAGGATCTGGCTCAGTACTTTAAAGTTAATTATTTGGCATCAGTTGACAACTAATGAAATACTGTCCTAAGTATCTTGATATCTTTGTCATTAAAATGTTTTGATTCCTCTGCTGCAGCAGATGCTTGCTGTTTAGCATAATGTGGACACAACTAGTTAATTTACGTATCAAACTCAACTGGTAATAGTTAGGGACAAAATAAACCAGTAAAAATATTGATTTTTAGGCCATTTCAGCATATCCTCTTCTCTTGAATGAATGCAGTTGTCTTTTCAGTGATTTATTGGTTTTGGACTTGAATTACCACAAGCATTGTTTTCTTAAAATGGAAAAAATTTACCACTCCTGGGTCTTTCTCAGTTTGCTTTCACGTTAAGAATTTGAACCTTTGGATTTTTTTTTTCCAGATCTATATAGATTACATTTATTTCAGAGAGAAAATGGTAATTTTCAGTTTTGCCCCTCAAGTTTTTTGTTTTGTTTTGTTTTGTTTTTAAGGTGACATAAATACCTGAGGCCTGCTATCTGATTGAGCAGGTGAGTGATCCTAATTGGCATGGGATCATTTTGTAAATGACGTACTGCTTTTGCAAAGAAATTTATCCTAGTTTCTTGAATGGTAAATCAGAAAGACTCAAGTTAATTCAGATTAAGTGTGCTAACAGGATATAGCTTTTACATTTTGCTGTTGAGTTCGACTGCACCCTTTAATATTTTACATGTATTATATGTATGACCCTTAGGAAGATGTTGGCTGTAATTCTATTATGAGGCTTTAGCTTGCAGTTGTTGCTGTTGGAAAATCTCTACAGTTAACCTCCAATGTGGTACTCATTTCAGCACACATGAACTGTACATTGTGCAACGGCGTTACCTTAAGAACGACTCTGTGAATGCACTTTGTGGCCTTTCGGCGGGAGGTAGTAAAAGGAGAGAATCCCATGTTAAAAATTTTTATTTTAAATATTGGTCATGTGTTAGGCAGAAAGTGTTCATAACATTTTTTCTGGACTCTTGGTATGTTGTTTGGAAATCTTTAATGTAAATGGTTAAGTATTCTATGTACACTGTAGTGACCTAACCTCGAAAATTATAGCATGTCATTGCAAGCTTCTCTGCTGTCACCAATGAAACACAGCGCCCTCTTAAGTTCCTCCCCCTTCTTACCTTCCTTGTAAACAACAATAACTGGATGTTTTTTAGGTGCTTTGATTGGAATTGAAAACATTCCAATCTATTTGGAGACCAAAGGCAAAATTGAGTTTCATTACCTTTGGAATTATTCTTAACTTTTATGGTGAATTTCAGCTTTGATATTTATTGAGGAACATGCCAAAAAAACAACAACAACCCACAAAAAAATGGGTTTCTAACTTAAATCTGTAAAGAAAGTCTCCATCTACAGTGTTTGCCTTTTCAGGTGCCACTCGTCCTGCCTAACGTAGTGCCATTTGCTTTGTGAAGATTCGTAAATATTAGTTGTATTGAAGTGGGACAGAGACTCCCTTAGCTTAATGATCTCAGTACCCCATAAATGCTAAGAATGATATGGAAACCAGCAGCTGAGGAACATCTTATTATTTAGTTGTAGCAAATTCATAGCAAGTGTCCTTCAAGGATGAACATGTATTCTATTCCTGTTTATATTTAGCAAGTAAAATTTACGTTGACATTTAGTGCATAGCTTTTAAAAGTGAGTTTTATGTATGCACTGGAAGGAAAAGATCTTAGTCTTAGGCTTTGTTTCTTTGTGCAACAACTGGAAAGGAGCAATGTTGTTTGTTTTCTTTTTACCCCAAAGTACAGTCAGCTGTAGTTTACTTTATGTATGGCAGAGATAATTTGAAAAACAAAAACACTACAAGTTATTTATAAAATTTGCCTCTAAAACACTTCTTTGTAGCTTTTGTTTTTAATTGTTGTAAATGTTTAAAAAGAAAAACGTATACTTAAAGCATTGGACTTTTTTTTTTTAACTGTTTTGTTTTCATCTGTTTTCTATCAGATAACATTTTATTTCTAATATGGAGGTAGTCAGCACTCTTCAGATGGCTATGTATTTTTATTGGAGAAAATTAAACTGAACTTTTTCAGGTTAAAGCAGTAGATACTGAAATAGCATACTCTCATAGAGCAGCAGAAAGAACTCTGGTGCCTATGCCTCATAGAAAACAGTCCCCTTAATTTTAAAGTCCAAATTTAAGAATCACCAAACCCTGTGATTGTGGGAACCTATACAGAGCTTTTAAATCCAGGAAAAAAACTATCACCAAAGCCTTGTCTTAATTTTTATTATGTATATAACTGTGGAACCAGCCTTTCTGGATGGGGCCCACAAGTAATTGATTTGTAACTTCAAAACCAAGAATAGAATATTATTAGATAATTTAATCCAGCCTTTTGTCTCCTAAAACCTAACGCCCATTGTAGAAAAGCATTAGTATATCAAGACCAGCAGAGTTTGGGTTAAAAACAATGAGGGCTTAACCTTATTGGAGCATAAACATGTCAGTATTTTTATTTATGTTAAATCACTAAAAATATTCATTTGAACTTGAAGGATTTGAATGCTAGAAATCAATCTATCCTTAACTCTCCTGGTGTGGTTCATGCCTGTCTTTGGTTGTTTACATGCTCTTCTGCCCAGACTGTTAGTACAATAGTATATATGGGGACCCTTTTGGGTCTGATAAATATAATAGTTTAGCTTTTTCCTCTAATATTGATCATGACTTCAACATTCCTAAGAACAGATAGTTCTGAGTGATTTAAATTGGAAGGAATTATATAAAGACATAATGTACTAACTTTCTGCCTGCTCAGATCTCTTCTCTGTCATGCCCTTATATTTCTCATTAAGCTATATACTGCTTTTTATGTTACTCTTTTTTAGAAACTGAAAATTCTAGTTTCACTCAGTTTTTGTGTTAAACATTTTGAATGTGTACCCCTGTATATGTGAACAATTAAATCTTGACCTTTCAAAGTCATAGCTAATAATTAACTTCAGGAGTTGATATCTTTTGACCATTTATATGAGGATTGCTATTGTATTCTGTACATGCCTGTAAATTATGTGCATTTCCTCTGTGTTTGTTAACTAGCTGAATTTTATTTGAATTGTGGAAAGTTTAAAAATTAAAATATGCATATGAAAATGTTTTTTTTTTTTTTTTAATATTTTATTGATTTCAGAGAAGAAGGGAGAGGGAGAGAGGAATATCAGTGATGAGAGAGAATAACTGATTGGCTGCCTCCTGCATGCCCCCTACTGGGATTGAGCCTGCAACCGGTCATGTGCCCTTGGCCAGAATCAAACCCTGGACACTTCAGTCTGCAGGCTGACACACTATCCACTGAGCCAAACAAGGTGGGGCCGGTGGTTTTTTAATATATGTAAGGTGACCAGACGTCCCGCTTTTGCCAGGACTTTTTAAAACGCCGCGGGGCAAGGGACAAATGGTTAAAAATCGGAACTGTCCCACCAAAAGCGCAAAAGCAGGACGTCTGGTCACCTTATATATGTACTAGAGGCCCAGTGCACGCATCTTCATGCAAGCACGGGCCTGCCTTCGCCTGACTGCAGGCACTGCCTTCGCTCAGGCCAGAGCCGCCTTTCCGCCTTTGTTCCAGTCCCAGCCGGGAGTCGCCTTCCGCCTTCCCACCCCCCCAGAGGCCCACAGCAGCAGGAGCAGTGCCAACGATGCGAGCATCCCACCCCCCCAGAGGCCCACAGCAGCAGGAGCAGTGCCAACGATGCGAGCATCCCACCCCGCTCAGTGCCTGTGTGTGTGTGCAAATTAACTCACCATCTTTGTTGGGCTAATTTGCATACTCCTGATTGGCTGGTGGGTGTCTCGAATTTGTATCTTTTTTATTAGTGTAGACCCTAATACTCCGGTATGGTGAGGATATAATCATACCTTAGGATGAGCATTGCCATTTTCAAGTGGTATGTTAGGCTCCTATCTGCTAGGCCTGGTGAAATCTCTGCAAATCAAAAGGTCAAAGAATCAAACTCATAGTTCAGAAAGAAATTTCTGTTCCACATTTTACACAGGTGTATTGATCTTTAAGTCCTGTACTTTTTAAATATGCAGTTTGCAAAGAACATCTGAGAAATTGAAGCAAGTTTGTTATTTGTTTAATACCTTCCTAGGATGTAATGTGTGTGTTTTTATTAGTAGCTTTTTTTGTTTGTTTTAGTTACAGCTTTTAGGAAAGCTAAGGTATTTAAAAGTAAAAAGCTGGAAATTTGTTTAGAATAACAAAATGAATTTACATATGATAAGTTGAAATACAAGTGACACAGGTATGTTTTATGTAGGTGCCTACCTACCCACTTTATGTTTTATCCAAGTTTTCCCAAGTCATAGCTACCATGAAACATCACTCAGTTTCGTAGGTGAGGAAACCTGGACAAATTTGTCATGTTCATTTCTGAAAGTTACATAAAGCTGAAATTGTTTGGCCTTAACAGTACTTTCCACTGAAGACTGAAATACTGGGTAC